AATACACATTTCTCACATTTATTTAATTTAAATAAATAAAATAAATTTCACATAAAACTGGACCCATACACTTTACAATAACAAAGAAAAGCTTTCAATCCCTTTGAGGACTAATAAAAGATAGTGGATAGCTCTGAAAACTTCAAGCTCACATTAAAGTGTATTAATTTATTTGCTTTTTTCATATTTCCAGAGCTGTTTAATTCAGAGTCACTTTCAGCCAGCTTAAGACAGTAAAAGCAAATACTTGTATATTCATAACTATCCAATCATTCATTAAATTTAACAAAATGACAAGCTGTAGAACTTTAACTAGCCTGATTATGTGGTTTGTGCTGAGATGTTTCATTTATCTGTGATAGATATTCATGATACATTTCTAAGGTCAAGTAAGGTACACTCCTTTGTGGGCACGGAGCAAGTGTTTGTGGAGGACAAAGTGTGCAGAGAGACCATCCTTGAAATGGTGTTCAGCCCATGTTTTGTGCAAGACTGACCAACTCCAGACCCATAGGAACGCTGTGCGCAGCAAAAATGTCCCTAAGAGGATCAACAGATTACTCATTCTCACTTTTTTCTTGTATGCCGACTCCCTGCAAGGCACTAGAATGTAGAGGAGACATAAAGACAAGGGAAGACACAGTCTGGTGAAGGACACCATGATATTTGTTTGGCGGATGAGAAGTAGAATGAGGCAGTGGAAGGAGATTTAAGGTCAGTGTGAGTGGATTCAGCTGCATAGAGATTCCAGTAACATTAATGGAAGTTAATACATCTTATGGGGTTAGTAGTTATGGCTATGTGTCGAAGTCAGGCTGACTCAGGTGGCAACTTAACAGCTGCAGTAAGCCAGTGATAACAGTCCTGGCAGCTTATAGGTTTGCAGCCAAGCAAAGTTACATCAGAGGGAAAGGAGACATGCTGCTATCCAGTGGACATACAGACAGAACAAACAGAACAGCATAACTTATTTTTTAAAATCAGGGTTGTTAAACAATGTCTTACACCAGGTCTGTTGGGGCGGGAGGGGGGGCACCCAGTTTTTCTCCCATGGTCATGAACTCTGCCCAGTTGCCACAGAAACCTCGAGAGTAGACACCAGTGTCCACAACGAGTCCCCAGTAGGCCCTGCGAGCGGTTTTGTCCCGCAGGGCGAAGCGTGCCTCGCGCTCAGTTACGTTGTAGCTGACGTTGATGACCTGCACCACCAGCAGGTGGAGCAGCCCAATGGTCACGATACTGCTGTACCACGCACAGGTGAAGCAAAGTGCAGTGCTGAAACACAGACAATGAGAAGAGACGTTAAATCATGCTGCAGGATAACAATAAAACACAGCACAGAAATATGTTCGGCACTTATGTACCTAATATAAGTTCTTGCAAAGTTTTTACTGTTCACTCATTAATCATCATCATCTGAGGCTCACTTTGGCTTGGATGTGTAAAACATGCCCATCACTTAACTACTGATGCTGTGTAGATGGAACACTATAAAAGAAAAGTAGGGAAACTTTCATCTAATACCATTTATATGTATTTATACAACCACAATTATAAATTATTCTGTGTGACCAGTTTAAAAGGTGTTAAAAGGACAGATCACAGTTAAAGGAACTGTTATTTTTACATATTCAGGAGAAGTTGTGTGTTCAGTAGTTTGAGGTTGAGGTAGTTGTTCTGAAGGCCTATTTTAAGCGTGCAACGCCTGCAGCAGTGCCAGAGCAGATCATTTAAACTTAAATCTTATGTCCACTCTCTCATTGCTCTGAGCAAAAGTGTTTCTCCAGCAGCTCGATAGGAAACACTCCAAGGTACTCTGTGAAACTGATTCAGCACTACACTGAAGGAAGCCTTATGTCCAATATGCAAGAACCTCACACAAGCTCATTTAGTCTTAATTTTAATGGTGAAGTCTAGGAAAAATGTCAAAATGCTGCACAGTGCTTCAGTTAAAAGAGCAGTTTTGCTCTTGATTGCTGCTAAAAGGCCATCTGTCATTTCCAGTTTCCATGGCTTCCATCTGAACTGTGGATGTACACCATGTACACATTTGCAGAGTTGTTCATTTTAAGCATTTTGTGTTATTTATTGTTTGTCTTTGTACAGTTAAGCAGATGATTTAAGTTTGAGCTGCAGAGAAAGGCTTGGTAGGAAATTAAAAATATCTCTACATTCCTATTAATGCATTCTTAATACCAATATAAATTATAAAAAGAAAACAAACAATTGCAACTTTAAGTTTGTGGCTACATCTTTATACATTGGAAGTAAATGTTGTTTAATAGATGAATGATACAGGATTTGGGAGGTCAATTTTGTATTAATAGTTAAGGAATAGTTAAACTTTTTGCGCTTATTCACTTTCTTACCAAGAGTTAGATGAGAAGATCGATAACACTTTCATTTCTGTATGGTAAATATGTAGCTAGCGCCAGGAGTTGGTTAGCCTAGCTTAGGGTAAAAACTGGAAACACCTAGCCTTGTTCTGTCCAAAGGGTACAAAATGTGACAAAAAGCAAATCGTAAGCTCACTTAATTAACATGTAATATCTTGTTTGTTTGTTTAAACAAACCAAAGTGTACAAACGACAAGTTGTGGTTTTACGAAAGATTACGTTTCCCCAATTCCAGTCTTTGTGCTAAGCTAAGCTAACCGGCTGCTGGTAGCAGCTTAATATTTATCATACAGGCTCAAGAGTGGTATTCATCTTCTCATCTACACATTTCCCAAAATGTCAAACTATTTCTTCAAGAATAAAAAAAACACGCATAACAAACAGCGCTCTGGTGTACAAACTATCTAACTGTTAGTTGTTTACTTATACTAATTACTGTCAACATACTGCATCTTTGGCATTCCTGTACTGCAATTTATAGTTACTTGTTGGCTGGTATTTACAGCAATACATCTATCTGTGATACATTCATATATACCCTTGATTTTAGTATAGATTTACAGGTTAGACTCCACTTGTTTGTGATATCCATTTTCATAACCTTATTTACATTTTTTTTCCTCATATTTACATTTATACTTTAAAAGTTAAGTTTATATTTACTTATTTGGCTGACGCCTTTATCCAAAGCGAATTACGTTCGAGGAACAACATACAAGCATCAGTAAAGTGAGAGCAACAATAGATACTAGAGGTTAAAGGTTATATCTAAGATTTAAAAAAAAAAAAAAAAAAAAACACATCAGATTTTCTGGCCCCAACAACCTTCTGACCTGGGAGCAATGAGATTGAATGGTGTGAAACGAAAATATATTGTACACACCAATTTTCACCAGGACTGTGAGTTATTGGAAATATGATGCGATCCCATTCGAATTCCACACATTGGGGATTTAGATTTACGTAAATGGTAACTTTAAAGGGAATATAATGTTAAAGTTACCCGGCTTTGAGTATAAGTGTACATGTCCGTTCTCAGTACCTGAATTGGTTGTAGACCCCTGGGCAGTAGAGCAGGGCGATGAAGACGTGTTGTTTCGGACAGACACACTGCAGCACAAGGCTGATCCCGTACAGCGACGTCAACAGGAAGAGGAAGAGTGTAAGCAGGAAGCTGCGGTGATTGGCCTGCCCCACACAGCTGTTTATCCTACCCCAACGGCAACGTGGGAGGTGGACGCACAAACACACACAGTACACACACAGGCAGATAAAACATCGCACTGAGACCCCAGGGTTACACCGCACTACATACATGCAGGACCAGGAGTGGAGGATAGCAAGGAAATGTTTACTTGAGGCTGTAATTAATGTGAGTGTGTGACGCTGACTCGACACAACATATACATATGGTCCATAAAGAATCAGCAGGTGTGAACAGGACAAACACTCGTATCCTAGAAAGAAAGACTTAAGGGCAATGTTAAAATTGAAAAGGATGTTTGCAGTTTTTTTAGATTTATTGAATGGTTTATGTATAAAGCAGATGATAAACAAGAAAACTTTAATGTTAGAGATGTGAGACAAAGTGGAAGAAACAGTGATGACAGGCAGAGTGAGACGCATTTTAATGGAACCCACCAGACACAGTGGTGGTCGAGACGCAGCACGCAGACACCACAGATCCGACAATGTCCCGCCCTCGGGGGCCGCACCACTCGGCACACCGGACACCAGTTCCTTCGGCTACTTTCCTTCAGCTTTGTCCCCGCCTGCTCCGAAGATCCCGCCCGGTTGGCTACCGTCACATCCTGCCTCCCCCCATTGAGGGCAGGGTCTCTGTCTGCTAAAGGGCTATAATACGTCACTGTGCTGTGGACGTCGTCTTGGTTTGGCTGAACAATGCCGGGTTCTCTCTTGGTGTGGAAAAGGGCTACCAGGGTGAGTACGACCCCTACAGTTACCACCGCCAGCTGGACCAGGCCTACATCCCCATGGGGGAGCACCTCCGTGATGAACAAGTAGTACATGTACGCCAATGAGAAGAGGGCCAGGCTGAGGAAGAAGAGCGTCCGTCCCTTCTTGCGATGGGTGAAATAGTAGTACCACAGCACCAGGCCGGGCAGAGCTGTCAGAACTACCATGCCGAGCAGGAAGTGGAGAGCGGCGATGTGCAGAAGGACGGGAAGGAGAACAAGAGGAGGGATGATGGACAGGTCCACTTTTCGGGCTCCACCCCACAGCCAGGGCACACGAAGCCGGTCTGTGACATCTGCAGCCACCTGTGACAGGGATTCAGGTTTCTGAGGCTCCCTCTTCAGAAACCTGACAGAGTAAAAAAATCAGTGAAATATAATAATAATAATAACAAAAACATCTCCAATCTCCATAGTATTTAGATGTTCCGGTACCCGAGCCCTGGTTAATTGATGCTATCATTTACACCTGTGATTTCCCTGCAAGTAAAAATTTCTGCTTTGACTATATTATTCAATAGTCATGATTGTTTGCCCAATTAACAGTTTAGGATAACACTAAAGTTCTTTGTGATTTTTGCAGTTTGGTAACATCAGCTCTTCTAAATTATTTAGACAGAGATTTAGACATTTTCCAAACAACTGATATGGTGATGATGTTTCAGTCAATCAAGGTGAGCCAGTCTTCATTAAATATATTCAGTGTTGGGGAGTAACTACTTATATGTAATTTAATGACAAAAGAAATGTAACTGTAATCTGTTAGTTACTGGGGAAAAATGTGTAATTAAATTAGTTACTTATGAAAATGTTCATGATTACATCTGAATATTTTCTATAAAAAACTCGGCTATATGTTGAATAATATTCATTAATTGAAATACTTCTATACACTGAATATATATGATCCTATTTATACATAAATTTATCGGTTACAGCGCTGATTGTAGAGCTGCAAATATTATTCCACTGACAATAACTTGTGCGTTCAATTAATACTTAAGTGCTTATTCTATGAAGTTTAAAACACAATGGCACAAATCAGACAGTTTTATCTTGAGAAAAAAAAACAAACATTTTTCTTCATCAGCACATTATGCATTTTTACTGGATTATCAACTGATGAAGTAATTGACTAATTGTTTCAGGTACAACAAGAAGAATAAGAGTCTACAGCCACACCTGTCCTTTGAGGCTGTACTTTTGCACAGCGGTGCTTTGAGCCTAATGCTAACGTCAGCAAGCTAACATGCTGATCTCTGGCAAGTTTAAAGTTTACCATCTTAACCATCTTATTTTAGTATGTTAACATTTGCTAATTAACACAAAACATTAGTTTTCATTAGTTTTGCTGGTTTTTGGTCATAAACCAAAGTATTTGACAAATTGAAGTTGGGATGTGATAAATAAAAGTGAAGAGATAACCAAAGTTATAATCAGTCCTGAGGGGAATATGAATGAATGTACTTGTAAACTTTGACCTGCTGTTGGTGCTAAAGGAAAAGTCAGAGAATCACCAAAGTAGCTCAGGTTCATCCTTTTGGGAACTATGAATGTACAAACTTTCAAGGCAGTCCCTTAAATAGTAGTTGAGATATTAACAGATCAACATTGTCAAAGCCAAGAGCAGGACTAAAACTGTCAAGAATATGCTGGTTCCAACAAAACAAGCAATTTGAAGATGCCGATGTAGGTTTCGGCAGATTTATGACGGGCATTTTTTCACAATTTTTATGGGCTGACCAATAATCAATAACCAACAGATCAGTTGTCACTTCAAATAATCATTAGTTGCAGCCCCAGAGATATTCAGTTTCATGTTTCTCACCTGTCACAGGTATCATCCAGGTCCTCGCAGTCACAGCAGCAGGCTGCTACGTGGCTTCGATCGCCGTGTCTGTTCACGTACTCGCAGCAGCACAAGGTCTCCTCTTCCTCCAGCACCTTGTTGGCTCGCTTCTTCATGACAGACAGCCTTACAGCTTATTAGAAAAGTTTATTAGTACCATTATTAACTGAACGTGTGTGTGCATTTGTGGTATAGATAAGATCAGAGACAAGAAGAGTGGCAGATAAATAACTGTTCAAAAAGCCCACTTTGCTGAAATGGCCTTTGCATAACAGCAGCTTAACAGCTATTTGCATGCATTTGAGATGGTGGAGTGGTTCCAAACAGATTTCCACCCCGGAGACCCTGACCCTACCCGGTCCAGCTCCTACCCTCACATCTGTCACACAGCTGTCATGCTTTAATGCTTTAAGGTAACTGAACGGTCCCACCACTGCGACCTGCTGGCTCGTTTTGATAGTACAGATGGATTCAGGCTGAGGTGAGGCAGTGACAGCATTTATAACAATCGCTGGTCTTTAGTGTCCCCTTTCTTCACAGAAAGCAAGAATGACGACACCGTGGAGAATCACTAAGTGGGATTAATCCTTCAGCCCATGTAAATCTCTCTCTGGGGGGATCTGGCTGCGCTGAAGGGGCACTGAATGGGCCTCGGTTTAGAAGTATAAATTAAAGCATGACACGGAGTGTTATTATTATCAGTCAGCCACTGATCAAACTACAAAAGGACATCGGGGTCAGGAAAGGTCACTAGCATCTAACTGGTGAGTCCTTCCTCTTAAACAATTGTGTAAAGGCCAAAAAGAACACAGATTGGGCTACATGTGCTGATTAATGGGTGTGTGTCCAAGTGGTAGCACCAACTAGCACAGCTGCTCCCTGACAAAATACTGCTGAAGGATTCATAGAATGACCGTGATGCTCGGTAGTTTTATATCCTGATGTAACAGTGAGGGATTTTCTGTGCAGGACATTACATAGCTTGTAAAAATAACATGCAGGGTGGCTGTAGCTCTTTATGAGAGATGCCTTTGTAGGTGGGATTAAGAACATGGACATGTTCTTTAGAGGTCAAATGATCTGTCGATTAAGCTACAGAAAATTAAACCATTTTGATAATTTTACTTCTAGCTTTTATAAAGGGGAGGATTTGCTGCTTTTCTTTATCTTATATGTGACAGAACTGATTACCTTTCGGTTTCAAACCACTGGTTGAACAAAATAATTGATCTGAAGACTTTGGCTTGGGCTTAAGGAAATTGTGATTGTGAAAAATGTTGATTTTTTTCACTATTATAGATCAAACAATTAATAGTTTGATCAAGAGAATAACTTGTCAGATTAATTAATAATGAAGTAAAATCATTAGCTGCAGCTATATTTATCCTCATGTGGCAGAGCCAGAAAAAAACATGCCAACATACATTTTTGAGAAATACACGTTCTTCCCGAGTGTTAGATGAGAAGATTTATACCACTCTCATATCTGTTTGTTAAACTTTTAGCTACAGACGGGAGACTCTTAGCTTAGCATAAAGACTGGAAACAGAGGACACCTATCCTTGCTTTGTCCAAACTATTTACATAGTAGATATAAGTTACTGCACCTGCCCAAGAAATAGTCCCCATGTAGCCAGCCTTTCTGCTTAGCTTAGTTCAACTAGCTGCCGGCTATAACTTCATATTTAACAAATGACAAACTATAAGATGACTGCTCTAACAGCCGCTGCAACATGTGTGTTGATTATTATCAGACCACGTAAAAGCTACACTAGAATTGATTTATTACTTTTTAAAGGGCTGGGATGCTGACCTCCTCGAGGTTTAGTTATTTAGGCAAATAAATGCATACACATAACGTTAGATATAACGTGTTTTTTTGACTATTTTTCTTAATGAGGTTCCTGCACTTCAATCAGGCACTGAAATACTTGCTCGAAACTTGCTTGAATATCACATCATAAAGGGATCAAGCCGAGGTATTGTTTTGGGTTTTGTCATTGTATGTGCAGGATATAGTTCATCTGTGTAACGTTACGTTCGTCGGATGCCAGCCAGTTATTCACCGCCTGGAGGTCAGATTTTCACTCATACCTGTCAACAAGCCGCAGACTGGTCGCTCATACTGCGTCAAACGACGTTTGAACGAAGCGCCAAACGCACAACAAATTATAAAACACAGGCTTAACATACCTGAACACTAAGCTGTTACATGCCAGTGTGTTCGAGTAAATATCGATTGAAAGGACTTTCACCCGCTGGGATCCTCAGCGGAAGTCTCGGTCTTGGTCACGGCTGTAGTATCCGGTGTTTATCTTAGCTGACGTTACTCGTCGGCGCAGTTTACCGTGGAAGTCTCCAGAATACCGGCGGCGGCCGGTAAACCAGTCTGGGTTCAAGTGCCGGTGTGGACAGGAGATTTCCTCACCGGGTTTCGTCAGAGTCAGGTACGGGTTTGGTGTTGCCGTCTTGTGGCTCTGCCCATAAACTGAACAGACTGTTTCCCTCCTGACGTCAAACGAGGTACTGTAGACTCTCCCCGCCCAGGACACGTTCAGATACTACCACACCTACAGGACAGCCATGGGTGTCGTTACACACCAGACTTCATGCAAGTTTTACCTAATTTTACTACTTTATGTACCGTCGTGCGTCCTAAACACCCTCTTCCTAAATAAAAATGAAATAATCACAATTTAACTCAAATTAACCTGTCCAAAGACGAAATATGAAATCTAAGACTTGATTTTAGATACCTAATACTTGAAACAAATAGATTTTCATTGAAAACATGCTGGAATTCTTTTTGCAGTGGTGGAGAAAATGGGGAAGTACGACTTGGTTATAGACTAAAATGACTTGATATTTTTGCAGAGAACAAATGCATTACATTTTAAAAGATGACACAAGGTACTTACTTAGCTTGTGTCACTGGATAATAAAACTTTATTGAATACCCTATAAGAATAATGGCATACAATATAAGACAGGAGACTGTATAGACTAATCTTACTGCAGATACACTATAATGATACTGTAGAAGAAGTAGAATACTTTGTCTAGGAGTAAATGGGGACAGGCTGCTGGTCAATAATTAAAGATGGTCTCAATGCTCTTGTATTTCAACTGCAACAAATGAACAAAGACACTTTTGGCATTACTCCTATTTAGTTTTCTGTTTCCAGCAGCATCATACAGTGTGCCAATCCTACCAGCATAATCTATAACAGAACTGTTTAATGGCCAATGTATAATTATGACTGCTGTATTTTCACATCTAAATATAGCCTATGATTTCTGTCTCACTCTCAATCCTGATGTAATTGTGTCACACCCACAGAGCTGTGTGACACAATGCACACACATGTGGATGTACATGCATATAAATAAAATGAATACATTAAGATTCAGGAGAGTTCCCATTGTATAGCTGAAAGGATTAATCAATTAATCAACTGTCAATGTATCTGCAACAATTCTGATAAGTTACTAAAATGATAGATCAATTAACCAAAAAAAAAAAAAAATCCTAAAATTCAATATTTGCATGGTTAAACAAAAAAGTTTTAAAGTTTAAATGTTTTATTGACATTTATAAAATATGGCATTTTTACACACAATAACAAGTAATCAAGAAATTCTCAGACTAGCTGATAATGAAAATTTGCACATACCTGGTTTGTTAAAAAATAAGATGTACCAAAACAGCAACCGATTTTCAACAAGTGGTGGCTTGCAGAGGTGGTTTAAAGTAAGAACAGCTGAACAATATGATGCACATAGACATGGGTGGCAGTAACGCTGTAAACATCAAACAAGGCTCAAGGCAGTTGTCACCAACAACTGATAAAAAATGGACTATAGTGTGCAAGTAAATTTGGAAACCACAGAACAAACTTGCATGTATTGCTGATAGCGGGAGTGCACAGTACACATGTACAGGTGTTGAGGATAAATCAGCCATGTCATCATTGTTTGGGCTGTTTAATTTACAGGGCATCACTTTAATCAGCCCAGGATGGAGTTGGAAGATAATGAGTATTATGTATTTTACCCCCCCCCCAGACTCATATACTCTATTTATTAAATCCAGAGGTTATTTTTCTATTTACAATTTAATGTTGTAGCAATTCCTGCAGTTTGCAAACAAACAAAATGGATTTATAACAATTACAAAAGAGGACAAACTTCCAAAATTGAGTTACTGATTCTACAGTTTATTGGAACAATAAAATCCAGAAAGATATATAAAACACAGCCCAATCTACAAGGCACTTGTGCAAAAATTAAAATATTTGCAAAAATGTAAATGGGGATAAGTTGTTTTAAATATTAATTCACTTCCCTTGAATAAATAAAAAAGTATTTACAATAGCGCATTTGGTGTGGCATGTCGCTCATCAGAATATAGTTAGGTACATCAGGAAAAGGGTTTTCAGAAATCCAATTCCACTATTCAATTAAATAATGAGAAAGAAACCGGTCAAGGGAGTGACAATAGCGCCCTTCACAAATCTTAAACCCACTGCTCTGCGTGCAACTGACTGATGTAAGGACAATTACATTTGAGTCAGTCTATAGCTTAAAAAAACAAACAAAAAACACACATCCTGGCACCTGAGGCCTCACCACAGGCTTTGGGATGTGTAACCCCCAGCAACAAATGGTATTTTATTTTAGGGGTCTGGGGACGTCTACTTGGCAACGCCACTGGATATTTCCTCAGAGGCAGTTCACCAGTGCGGCTCCCCCCCCACCCCCGCCGTGATGGGGACAGGCAGTCTGTAGTCGCCAGGTGTGGAGCATCACTGTGGTGCTGCTGTATGATTGGCCAAAGCAAAGTTCTGCTGCAACACCACCAGAGAGCTGCGGAGCTGTGAGGAGAAGCAGAACGGACTCAGCTGCTACAACACCTGCTTTAGATTGTAAAAACATATTACAAGACAGCTAAGAATTTATGTGAAGGACTCCTACTGGTTGTAAAATAAAAAAAATAATAATAAATTAAAAAAACAGCTGCATGTCTCTGCTTTCTCTGAAAGACAATTAATGCAACTTTGTTCCTCTTTCAATGTCGTTTATGAAACTCATTATTCAAATCACAGTATACGTGAATTGTTTCCTCTCTTTGCGCTTATGGACTAACTATTCTCTATCTTTATCTGCACTTGAGCGCACACATCCATCCCTAAAAAAGAATAGCTTAACATTTTGGGAAACTTGCTTGTGTGCTTTTTTGGTAGAAACTTGCGTGATAAAATCAATACCACTTTAATGTTTGTCCTTTAAATATGAAGGTACAGGCAGAAACCATTTAGCTTAGCTTAGTTTAGCACAAAGACTGGAAACAAAGAAACAGACTAGCGCTGTCCAATGATAACAAAATCCTGGTAGGTACCGGCTAGGGCTGGGCAATTAAACTCTAACAATAATTATAACATGTTCAATAAATGTTCAATTTAATTCATTTGAATCACAAAAGAATAATCAAATAATTTTGTTGAGGAAAAAGGCCAAAATCCTAAAACTAATATAACTTTAAATATTTTATCGTTATCATTGTTTTGAATGTTATACCTCAGATTTGTGAAATGATCCACTCTTTGGCAAATGTTTGTCATGTTCTGACCATAAAGAATATATAACCACAATTAACCATCTGGTTTCTTCAACTTTAACTCAGGAGCAAAACTAACTCAGCCTTTGAAGGTGCTGTGGAATGCTCATTTTCAGGTTTCTACTACAAAATGTTTACATGCTTTAATGTTAAAAACACATTAGGTTTCTCATACTGTCCACTGCTAGAGCACCACTTTTTACCCTCTGTTTTAGCTCCTGTCTCTTTATGGCCCTCCTCCTTGAAAGCCCACTTGCTTCCGATTGGCTGATGGAGAAAATATTGTCCGGTTTTCCCTCTGATGTCCTCCGGCTGCTCTGCCTCAACTTTTGCCAATTTACGGAGTTTATATGTTACTGGTTAATTTAGCAGCTAACTACTGCGAACAGCAGCTGCTACTAAGTTAGCTACTCAGTTAGCTGTGCAGCTAGCCATCCTATTGCTGATTCTGCCCGGACTGGAAGCTTGGTGCTCCGGGGTTGTGTTGGTGTTTACACCTCTAACATTAGTACAGAACAAGGGGTTAGCCAGAGATCGCACAGTGAAGCCGACCAAAGCCTGCATGGAGAGTTCCATGTAGGCCCAAAAATTACGTCAAAACCCTGTGACACCCTGTCGAACAAGAGACTGTATTGGTTAGATTATAAACTCTCTGCAAATCTAAAAAAACTATTTGGCCATGAGTGACGCTACATTGGTGTTTGGTAGATAAGCCTTGTAGATGGGCTGATTCAACAGTCAAGATCCAAGTCAGACAAACACACTGAGCCAGAAGACCCTTGTTTCTGCAGCCATGCAGCTACCAGAACTACAGTGTTTCTGCTGTTGATCTATGTCATTAAACCACGCTTATGCTGCTCAATCATGCGCAGTAGACGCTGGTGCCAACTGGTAGTAGCCCCTGTAGTAGTATTACTACTACATTGTAGTAGTAGCCCTGTAGTAGTATTACTACTACATTGTACTGTCCAGCAATTTAAAGTGTATGTCCAGTAATATACTGTGTATGGTATGAAAGCTTCAGACTGCTGGTTCGGAGCCAGCTGATAACAGGAGCGACTGTTAGCAACAGCCAGCAGTTAGCAACCGTACAAAAAGTGTAAGCCAGTCCTACCTGTTCTAAAAGGTTGATGGAGTCCTGCAGTACAGTTTTCAGCAGCTGCATATCCTGTGTGGCCCCATACCCTGGTCCCTGTCTGGGAAGGTATTCAGAGGCCAAGCTGTCAAACAACAGGAAAAAATATAATTGTTCATAAGTGCAAAATATGATTCAAAGATTCACATTTTCTACATAAAAGACACAGAAAAAAAAAAACAGAGGCAGAAACAAAGTCAAGGAAATGTAACAAGTGTGGAATCTAAGAGTGAAGAAGCCCTGATGTCACTTACATAACCACATTTACTGACGCCGACAGACGCGCACAGTTTCTAAATTGTGAGTCATTAGAACGAGAGCTCTCATATGTGGGCTGCTTAAACACCACAGACAAAGAGGTGGAGGAACACTATCCCCTTCACCCTCTCTATCCTCAAGATATATTTAGTCTATGGCAGACGATAAATAAAATAAAAAGGAAAGGGCCAAAGAAAAATGCATGTCGCAAAGGAAGAGAAAGTTATCAGACCTGGCCTCACTCCTCTCCCTCAGCCGATGCTTTGTGCTCAGGAACATGCGGTGAGCTACATCCTCCATGGCCCACAACTTGAAAAACAGACCCACATTCAGCAACGTCAGAATCAGCAAACTGAAAGAAAGAGACAGAAAGCACAGTTTAATCTGACCACTGGTTCGCACCATGACATAAGAGTGACAAAAGGTTGGAGGAACTATTGCCACCACCAGATATCACCACACACACACACACACACACACACACACACACACTTTAGGCGTAATGACTTTCCAATCAAGGCAGTTTGTCATATTACACAAAAGACACCCAGATTTTGCATCCAATATGCACAGCAACTTTTCAGTGGTAAAATGTGCATTACTTATACACAAACACATTGTTACACATGAGTGTTGTTAACTTACATCATACTCATCCCAGCTACTATTGTTGAGGTGTTCCATCTGTACGGGCTGTCCATTTCTATGGGGACTGAAATACAGTTGGACAGATCAATAAATTATAGATTAAAAATTAAAGAATTGAGAATTTGCTTGCCCCGTCGTAGCAACCGTGACAAGAGCAGGGCAATTGTGTTGGTTGAACATTTTGAAAGTGCTGAGGCCACACATGTTCATAGTTTACTTCAGTCCAAGGTTTAAAATGTACATGCCTGCGATGTTAAAATGAAAATTACAGACAAACAGCTCATTTAAAAACACATTTGCCATGACAAAAATACTAAAAATTACAACAATTTCCAATGAAATTTCAAATGTCAACAAAGCAGCCTTAAAAAGGTATTTTTTTTTTTTTATTTGCTTTGTTGGTGAAAGTTAAAATGAGAAGATAGATGCCACTGTACGGTGTGTTCATTAAATATGAAGCTGGAGCCAGGAGTTGATTAGCTTAGCTTAGCATAAAGACTGGAAGCAGGGGGAAACAGCTAGCCTGGCTCTATTAAAAGGTAGTAAAATTCAGCACCTCTAAAGTCAGTAGCACTTAATCTTGTTTATTTAATCTGTACAAAAAAAAAAAAAGTCTAAAAATGTCACGTCTGTCATGTCTTTTTTTTTTTTTACTTGGTACATAGGAAACAAACAAGATACAATCTGTTCATTAGTGAGCTTTAGAGGCTAGCTGATTGCTCCTACTCCAAGCTTTATGGTAAGCTACGGAAACTGTCTCCTATTTGTAGCTTCGTATTTAACAGACAGATAAGAGAGTGGTATCGATCTTCTCAAAAAACTCAGCAAGAAAAGGAATTAGCGTATTTTCCAAGATGTCAAAACATTCCTTTAAAGCCATTATATACAGTGTAACATCATGTACCCAAGTTGCCATCCCTGTGCGGTTCAGGGTCTTGCCCGTACGGCTTGATGGGCTTTATGTGCTCGGGCAGAGTTCGGCTAAATGTCCGCCTCCTCCTCCTAACCCCACTCATCTTCCCAGATTCTGTGCCCCCTTGGTTCATGTCCGCTTCCTCCTCCAGCAGTTCTGCTTCTATACAGGGTCATCACAGGGCCACAAGGAGTCAAACACACGCAGAATGAGCATCTGTGTATTTAGACATCGATGCACACAAGTATCACAGTGAAAAAATATTACCTATTATTACCCAAGTAACGAAAAACAAGACACCTCTACATATTTGCTGAAGCTCAGCACACTGAGAACTTAAAATGACTTTTTACATTCCCGTTCTCCATCCTTGCAAATACAGCTATGTAATATGATTCATTGTTGCAGAGCCTGAAGGGCGTTGGAGGAAAATGTTCATATCAGATCACAGATAAAATAAACTACAGGCTGAGGAGTGGAAGACCAGGAAGTGGCTCTTCTGCTTCCACAGCATGTGAACAGGTCTTTCTACTTACCCAGCTGTCTGAAATTCTCTTCTATGCCACCCCAGGAGTTTTTGGTGATAAAGGACTTGACCAAGCCCCATGGCTGCTTCTTGTACTTCACATCAGTATAGACCCTGGTTGCATAACAGACTTTTTACATGCCAGTCACTTAAACAAATATACATGACAACACATAAACTGACATAATCATAACACCTCACCTTAGTCGACACTTCCGCTTGGAGTTACTTATGATGTAGTACCGATTTTGAGTGTAGAAGTAATCGTGGTAGGGAACGTCGTGAGTGTACACCTCCGAGTCTACAAGGTAATACTGGCCATCCCTGGATTCTTTGTACAGCGTCTGAGAGGTAATTGGAGTATAAATAAGCAGGGAGCCATAATTCACACAGAACCATAGGCTATGTGTTTATTCATCCATTCAAGCGAGCACTCACACACACACACACACACACACACACACAGATGTAAACACACCTGGTACTCTGTAGCGGTGGAGAACTTGCCAATCAGAGGATTGCTGATGGTTATTGTGTAGTTCAGACTCCGCTTCATGTTTCCAGAGGCATCTTTTTGCCAAGGAGTGGAGCTGGCATCTGATGACACAGGGACAATATGAAGATTATTATTATTATTTGCTTTTAAATCTAGATTAAAACAGTTTTAACACTTACTGGTCGTCTTCCTCATGTTCATGAACCTGCGGATGAAGCTGGAGTCGGTGAAGAGTAACTCAAACATCTTGTTAGCGCTGATGTGGAAGACTCGGTTTAGGTAAATTCGACCCTGCACCTGGGACAAACCCACTCGCTCCTCCACTGATAAAGCAAAACAAGCCAAAAAAAAAAAAGGGAGGAATAAGAAATTAAAATATTTAAAAACACAAAAATAAAAAACCATGAGTTCAAGCATCCTCTCCAGTTTCTGGGTTGTTCCCCTTTTACCATCATCGATGCTTTCTGAACCGCTCTGCTCGGACACGCCGTTCTCATTGGCGTTGAGGTCAAGAGAAAGCATGGAGCGCTTGGAAACCCGTTCTGGGACAAGGCGGTCTAGTGAGGGAGCAGGACTATGCCGCTGAGACGGGGTGTTGCGAGTGTCATCCTGCTGGAGGGAGATACCAAAAAAAAAACACATGAGTGTAAGAAGATTTACTGTTGACATGCACAGCCCACACAATAAAAGATAAATAACATTTTTAATACCGCGCTGGCAGAGTTCTGTGAGCGGAAAGGGAAAGGCAAGTCCTCCCCTTGAGGCGTGGAGGTCTCCAAGGGCCCATGCTCCACCACAGGGACGCGAAGGGAGGGGGTCCCTGGTCTGTCATCACCACCAGGCCTCACCGTTGGGCTGCAGACAAACAGACAGGTGGTGTCAAATTAGAGCGCACCGTGATTGTCTGCCCGACGGTGGCCGTGCAGGTGGGAGTGTGCTCACCTGTTCTGCATGCTTGATTCTGCTGACATCTGTAAGCTCTCCATCTCTTCATGGCTCAGGCCCAGGTCATGCCCATAGTGCTGTTTGACCATCTGCCACAACTCCAAGCTGGTCAGAGGCTGAAAGTGAGAAAAGGAAAAAAGAAGAGAAGAGGTCACGTGGAAATCTCAACCACAGAACTTTTATGGAAATCAGCTCCTGTAGATAGCTCTTCCTCTGCACAAAAAGGAATCCGCTTTGACAAACAGAAACCATAACGTGCAAAAAAAAATGATGAAAAAAAATGGACAATTTGAAGTAGTTCAAGGTAACCTGGAAACGTGTAGGCTATCATGTCTTATCTCCATGGGTAACAACCTAAGTGTACAAACCATATTTGTGTTAACCCTTGACAGTCAGGAGAAGATCAAGCTTAGAAATATCCCCAAAATATATTGAATATCTAAAATAATAATAATAACAAACCCTAGAACAAAATAAACACTCTGCAGGCACCTGTGCTCAGCGTAATCTCAGGACTGCCAGTTTTGACAAAACACGATATAAAAAACAGAATTTGCTGCAAGTGGCGGAGTAGAAAGTGATAAAACCGGTCTATTATTTTAGGATGTTTATTCCAGTGGGAAATTAATGGAACCGCATCTAAAACCGAGAGAAAATTTCCTAAAACACAGACTTCCACTTACGTTTCAGAGGACGCTTCCCCGCAGCTGTGAGCTGTAACCTCCACGCACCGCGCATTCACCACAATCAGGAAGTCCTGGATCTCAGAGTTCAGGGACGTCGAGACGCGCCGCCCAAATTCACAATGTGATGATAATAATACATAAGCAAAACAGATAGGCTAAATAAAAGCTCGTTTCACCTGCCGTAGCTTCGGTTAGAGAAAATTAGCACTTTGTTTTCATGCGATTCCGTTCAGTTTCAGCCCAAGTGCGGCAGCATGTCAATGTATATCAGCCCTCAGTGGCCACACCTGGAGAGGTCAATGAACTTTTAAAAAGGTGATGTTTATCCAGGCGTCTGCGCTCCAGATCCCAGCACACTCAAACCCCTGTGGTTAGGCTGCCATGGTGCCTGTCTATAAGAGAAGTGTAGCTGTGGAGTAAGTCGTTCATCATCACAATCAGTAATGACAGCAAAGAAAAGAAGTGCTGCATGGTTATTTAATATCCCCTATGTTGTTTATATATATTTACAGCGCAAAGAGATGGGCAACCAGAGTTTTCCAAATCAAGATGGCTAAAATGAGCATGGTGGTTTCAATTTTAACTACATCCCAGACATACTGGAGGTAAATTATTACTGCTTCAGTTTAAGTGAATTCTTGTTTATGGAGTAAAAATCAGCGCTCTGCTTCAAACGGCCATGTTAAAAACCACAAAAGCCAGATTTCTTTGTGTAGTCATGGACTCAGACCTGACTTTCAACAGTCACATTTAGACAATTACAAAGTCATCAACTGAAGCATAATTACGGATTAAAAGACTTGTGTCTCAACAGGACCTGGAAAAACTTGTCCATCCGTTTATCTCCAGTGGACTCGAATAGTGTTACGGTGTCTTCACAGGTCTCCCTAAAAAAATACATCTATCAGACAGCTGCTGTTATTCAGGACGCTGCGGATCGCATCACTCCAGTTCTGAGGTCTTTACACTGGCCTCCTGTCCGTCAGAGGTCTGATTTCTAAATAATGTTGTTGGTTTATAAAGCACTGAATGGTTGAGGGCCAAAATACATTTCTGATCTTCTGCTACATTGTGAACTATCCAGACCTCTCAGATGGTCTGGGATCAGGTCTGCTTTCTGTCCCCCAGAGTCACATCTAAACATAGAGAAGCAGCGTCCAAACTCAAACTCAATCAAGACTTTTCTGCTCTGCTGCCTTTTATTAAATACATTTTAAGGCTTTTGAATAGCATCTACACTGCACTTTAACTTTCTCTGTTTTATTTTCTGTTAAACTCTTCTTAATTGTATTTAAACTTTTTATTTTTTTATACTCCCCTATCTGTTCACTTCAGCAGATGCTTCGAACCCTTTTAAGTGTGTCAACAGATGCTGTGGCTTACAGGTCGAGCCCACTGATCAGAATTGATCCCCAGCTTTCCCCAGCCCACATATCTGTGTGACCTTTTTACTACATCCCTGACATACATGTAGGTAAATTATTCCAAACACAGATCCTCATTATATGGAACAATAAACAAAAGTCTCTGTTAGACTCATGAGCAATCCTGCACTGCACAGATCTTTACCCTACATACAACAGCAGAACAGTGCTGATAACATCAGAGGAAGACTGTACTCTGAACCGATTAGGTAAGTGCTGCAATATGTAGTAAAGTCACAGAGCGGCTGGTGTTGTGGGAGGAATTAAGTCAGAGCACTGAAGTTTTTGGACAATGGCAAAGTCTGTGTGTTGACAGTTGTTTGTGGCACATGTGAAATGACTGTAGGTCTTGTGTAAGGGTTTTTTTCTTCACACAGGTATGAAACGGACTATTGTTGAACCTGAATAAAAAAAAAGGTTACTCCCACATGCGGTATGATGATTGTCTGCAGTTAGAAGAATGGACTTTATAAAGGTAACAGCAGGTGAGTGGAGCAAGGCCTTACCTTGTCCAACAGTGTGTTTTGCCACATGCGGAAAATACCCTGGTAGCTTTTCTCTCTTGAAGAGAAGGAAGTGAAGAAGAACTGCAAGTGGAGATACAAAGAGGTGTACAGTAATCAGTTTATCAAATGTGAAATAAACTCTGTTCTCCTCGAAACACAGTATACCTTCTCTTTTTCTGTGCAGACCTGGATGGCATTGGGAATCAGCCGGGCTGTTTTCTCTCTGGTCATATTAACAATGTCTTTAAGAGTCAGTGCAATCTATAAATAAAAAACAAGATGAAAGGTTACAGAAGTTAGTGCACATGTGCTTATAAAGATCACAGGGTGATCTTTATAAGCACATGTGCAATTACTTTATCAGATAGATCCTCCTCCACTCAGGAGTTATTTTGTAATGACATCTTATGACTTTGAGCCGTTTCCCAAAAAGAGGAGTGAACTCACAGCTCACAGCAGTGACTTAATCAGACATTGTTGCATTATGATGTGGTCACAGAGGCTCTGCTGCAAGTGTAGCAATTAGTGTGTCTTCCTCATTATTTTTTCTGTTGGGCCTATATCTTGGTTGTTTCTCTGTAACAGTTACACATGATTGCAAAGTAGAATTTCTTGCAGTTTGTTTCTGAGTTTCTAAACTCTCTTAAATTTACATTTACACCTTTTCCAATTCTAGGCAAGTTATTTGTGGGATTAACAAACAAGAAAATACTGCAACGACAGTTTTATTCATTCTGTAACTGTTGTAATCTTCTGTTTGAGTGGATTTTTCTTTTAAAATGCTGCGCACTCTATTCTCTCTTAACAGGAGGTTAAGTGCGAGCCACCACGCCTAAAAGCATTTGATCCCATTTTCCATTTGGGAAATAGTTAACCAATTTTTAATTGATAACAAACCATCATTGTATGTATAAATTACAAAATATGCAATATAATACAAATGGTTATTTAAATGAAAATATATTTTGTTGCTTTGTCCACACATCTGCGTCTACATTAATGTGCTTCTACACTGTACGCCCTCCTCCCTCCTTCTGTCCTCGTCCGCTTTATTACCTTCGTACCCCAAAACACATTGCTGTAGAAACACAGCCAGTTCTCTGAGATGTAGAGGCGTCCCTGAAGGAGGATGTCCCGCTGGAGGGCACACGTGTAATCTGAGTAAAAAAAATATATAGGGCTGCTGAAGCAGGAAAACCATCCATACACAAATGAATGCACCTGAGGTGTTATATGACACACTGTATAAAACAGTACACGCAGTGTGATTTAGATACAGACAATATGTGGCCACTTATAATTCACGTTGCTTATCAATATAAGCTGATCTTTATCTCAAAATACTTGTAAAATGTAAGTCTTGTGGTTTCCAAAGTTGCCAGCCTGTGTCTTGCTGAGTTGCAGGTTCATGTGTATAAACATAAACAACAAAAGATGCAGCGACAGAATCTGCATGATTATATCACACAAAGTGGGAAAATGTTTTAAGCACGCCAGCGTACATACCATTATTTTCTTTTTTTGCAAATTGATGCTAATATAGGATCATTTAATCCTAGATCCCAGCTGCTCACCCTGTAAGGATTTCTGTAATATAGTTTTCACCTGTGTCATCAGTTAGTCTAAATATGCCTACTCAGAGGCATTTCTACTTTAGAACAACATTTTAAATAAAAGTTTGCATTTTTATGCCATATAAATGGTTGAAATTTTAAATAGTAGATCTTAACAAAGTATAAAATCAACAAATTATAAAACTGGATCACACTATCATTTCTATGAGAAGCAGTCTATGTAACTCACCCACTATGAGTCTTTCTGACCCCGGCAGATCTTTGAACAACTTCTTAAATTCATCAAGCCTCTGTTTGTACGTCGGCAGAGGAGATTGAGGTGCGGCAAGACACTGTCCCTGAGGGTCAGAGCTCTGATGGAGGAGGTGTGAACATTACTTATACAGAGACATTAATTCAGCGTGTGTAAAGTTGCAGCTTATTTGTTCTGTCTGTGTGCCAGAAGCAAGACGTTTGTGAGGGGCACTATTCTGACCAGGCTTTTAATAATAAAGCACATACATTAGTAAGAAACATCTTTGAGCAGATGATAAACAGCATTATGAGCCTATTGGGCTTTGCATCAGAGAGGTCACAGCAGTAACATTTTAGCGAGGGGAAAGCTGGTGTAATGAATCTGAACCAGGAGAGCCCAGTCAAAGATTTTCCATCTCATCGTTTATTATAAATTATACTAGAACTATATTTTTTTTTTTTACCTCTTCTTCAGAGCTCCACCTGACATCCACGAAGGATGCTGACTCATCATCAGTGCCCACTCCTGACCGGCTGGATACCTGGTCCATCTGCTCTGCTGCACGGCTCAAAGAAAAAGATAAGCAGCTGTGAAACTTCTTTAACCCTCCTGCGGGCTGATATTATACACATTTCAAATCTCTCCAGCTGAGTAGAGACTGGAGAGGTGGGTGAGGGGGAGAGAGAGATGACACGTGGGAGTTGAACTTTAAGAACATGATGTGTAAATGTCATCCAACAAGGATCTCCAGCAGCAGCGCCACAGGGGAAGTCATTATCACTGCAACAGAACTGGTTTGACTAGGAGAGAAGGACGTGTAGTGAACAGAAACCTTTACTCTCTTTTGCTAAGTGTCGTGAAAACAAAGAATATTGTGTCACAAAGTTAAGGAAAAAAACATTTATAGAAATTTCAATAAACATGCACACAATGACAGCGACCTAATGCCCCCATCCACCTCCAGACTCTTTCTGTGAGATGTTTAGATTAATGTTGGCTGATAGGAATCAGTCGACATAGATGTCAAATCCTGTCAAGGAAAACAAAGATGATAAAAAGCTTGCAATCAGATTTGTAAAGCTGTCAAACGCGTGCCTGAAGACGTTTACGTACAGCGCAGGTGTGCTCAGCCTTTAACGTGTCTCCACACGCGGGTTATGAAACTGTTGTTGTCAGACACTTACCTGTCGCGGAGTGGACCCAGCGTCTCTGTTCTCTGTGCGGCCGCGTTACTAAAAAAACTCCAGTTTGTCCCAAATAACACACCTAAGGAGCTCTGTTGATGAGCAGAATGTTATGCTCATGCGCGTTGTTGCAGGTGCGTCTCATCCGGCCGGGGGAACATACCTTTGGGGAGTTGTCATCACATTGGTGACGCTCATTGGTCATCACATTAAGTAAATAAGGGCCCGAAATGTACCTCTCCCTTAATCTAAGCAGGAGTTGATTCCAGCTGTAGTAGGAGTACCTTTATATTCCAAGCAATCAGGTGAGCAAGCCACTGCAGCGGGATGCGTTTTCTTTAATTGAGTTCAAGTTTTTTCACTATTACAAAACCTTTTTATTAAATCATAGCAGCTCATCAGTGTATTCATTATTTACTGCAGTTGCTAAATTAAGCTCTGACCTTTTAAAAAGAATGGTAATTAAAGTAAAGATTTCTATGCACAAAGCATCCCAAGGGCAGGGTGCTGGAGAGTATGAGTGATATGCAGAGCGACCGGTTCAGCAGCACTGATGGCATCATTAGAAACGATGAGGTCAAACAGGCAGATACACAAACAACATTATTATTTTTTCTCCCCCCATGGTTTAATTCTTTGGGAGTAACATGATGAAAGTACTGGACAGCAGAGCGTCTTACACATTCACACACACACAGCAAAGTACACGACACCACACAGCGTGAAACACAACCATAAAAACAAAAAGAAAGAACAAAAGCGTCAAAACGCTGGCAATAAATATAGGCTGATCTTATTAAATTTATATTCAATACTCTTCTGTACAGATGGTCTATGAATTACAATACATCAACCGAAAGATCCTCTTCAGGGAGAGCAACATGGATACACAAATCATGTAAAACAGAGGAAGGAAGGCGAGGAGATCCCTCTTTCATACGCACGTTACATCCACACACGCATGCACAATCAGTGATCTTGCAGAGGAGCCAGTAGGCCGATATGAGGCAACAAATAATAATGAATACAGTACATCTTTCTCTTTTCCCTCCACATGAAAATGCACACGCACACAAACACACATTCACTCACAATGAGGAGCACAGGGGAGCACGGTTATTTTCGGGGATACGAGGAGGTGGAATGTGATTCTGCGGTGGAGGGCTCGAGAGATGAAGCCCGCATAAGGTTGAGAGAGGTGGGAGCCTATTCTTCCAACGTGCGGAAGGCGTTTTGCATGTCCTCCAATAGCTGAGCGTACTCGGCCTTGATCTTAGCCTCGCCGTCCTTCACCGGGTCCTGTAGCGACAAAGAAATACAGTCTTACAAACGTGAACAGAAAAACAGGACACTCTGTGCATGATCCGTGGTGCCCGAGCTACGTCAGTCAGCCTCACGGTGTCCTACAGACGTCATTTCCCAGATTAGATGGAGTTGGGCGAAACTTAAGTTTTTAAATGTACTGCTCCTTCCTTCAGGAACAGTGGGCAGACTTAACTGGTTCTGGATTTGGACAATAAACTTAACATAAACATAACTTCTAAATTTATGGTTTTTGCCTTGTTTCGTTGCTTTGGAAACTCATGTCTAATCACGCATAGTAACTGCATATTGCCTATACTCTTGTAGTTGCCGCAGCCTCCTTTTGTTGTTTGCATTGATTGGGGAAAAAAAGAAACCTGACAGCTGGAGGTTATTGCATCAGGTAACATTCCACTTCCTTATTATTACTGTCACAACTGAAATGCCCTCAGCAAACAATACCTCAACAAGCCCAAACTAAACCCTTCAAGATACAGCACAAAGACTGTTCATCTAATCTACAGGAAGAATTCTATATGTTGATGAAACAAAAGTAAAATAATATATTTATACAGAGGTCCTCAACCTTTTGACCTTGTAACATCTGCAGAATGCGGACTACCTTAAATAAAAAGATTTTCCCTGTTTGATTATGAGTCGTAGAGAAATAAAGCTAAATTGTCTAATAAATCAGACGTGTCGGGGTATGTAGAAGTGTTTTTTGCTATTCATAAGAAAACACATAAATCGCACACACCTTGAATTTCATTGAGCTGATCCTGTAGAGGATTTCTCCCATGTGCTCCCTGATGTTTGCCCAGGTGATCTTGTTGTCGCTCTGAGCCGTAGTCTCCACTGCATGCCGTGCCATGTCATAGAAAGCAATCATGTTGGAGAGAATGCCCACGGTCTTATAGAAGGGACAGAACCTGAGGAGAACAGTCAGATAAATAAGCCATCCGCAGATTAGATCAGTCGTTTCTTTAAAAGGTTTCAGTGGAGTTTCACCTGTATTTCGTCTCCAGGATATTTCCAGGAGTACAAGTGGGTGAGAACATGCTGTGTGCGGTGTTATGTTACCTGTCATAAGGAGTGTAACCGTTCTGCTGCAGGAAGTCGTCCTTGATCAGTTTGGCCACTTCCAGGGTTATTTTATCGCTTTCTGCCAGCGATGCCTGTAAAAAAAAGTAAAAAAAAGTTTTCTTCAAAAATGTGTTGGAACAAGCAGATATAGACTGTTTTTCTGACTTTGAAGCTGCACACCGGGAAAGGGGGTAGGTCAGATCATAACCACAGACTTTATGCTGAGTTACCTTTCCGACGAGCTGCACAATCTCAGCCAGGTCCTCCTCCTCCTGCAGGATCTCCTTGGCCTTGGTACGCAGGGGCACGAACTCGGGGAAGTGCTTGTCGTAATACTCATCCAGAGCACGGGTGTATTTGCTGTAGCTGATCAGCCAGTTCACAGAGGGAAAGTGCTTCCTCTGAGCCAGCTTCTTATCCAGACCCCAAAACACCTGAGAGAGGAAAACAACCGGAAGAAATTAAAGTAATGAAGCGAGCATTTTTTTAAACAACAAAGCTTAATTAGAACGACAGCTGGGTCTGAATCACTCACCTGTACAATACCAAGAGTGGCTGAAGTAACAGGGTCAGAGAAGTCCCCACCAGGAGGCGATACACTGAGAGAAAAAAAACAAACAAATGTTCATTTATTTGTTGTATTCCACTTAGTTACAGTGTGTAACTAAGATGTGCAGAATAATGTCTCCCTCTAGTGGGCAGAATAAAGCAGTACTCACGCTCCTACAATACTGACGCTGCCCTCCCTCTCAGGGTTGCCCAGACACTTCACCCTTCCAGCGCGCTCATAGAAGGAGGCGAGACGGGCACCCAGGTAGGCGGGATAACCGCTGTCTGTGGACAGATATAGAAAAAACACTTTTTGTACACAGTCGACAGGCTTTATGCTTCCTGCTAGGTTAACATGACTACACACAAGAGGTTAGAGAATTGCACTGCCATACTGGTATAAAGAGGCGCTCCCTCCCAACTACTGTAGAGATGAAATATTTAAAGAAACAAGTGTGAAGGCATCCAGCTAAATGTCATTCATACTACTGATTATTTTCATCATAAATTTAAATCAAAAGATTACTTTCTTGATTAGGTGATTAATGGTTGAATCTATAAATTTAATAAATCCTTGTTTTGTCACCATCAAAGAAGCGGAACCTGCAAATATTCACATTGGAGATGCTGGAGCCATTTAATTTTGGGTATTTTTTCTTATGAATAAATTAACAATTAAATTTCGATTAGTCAAACTAACTAATCAATCGTGTAAGTTTCAGTGGTTCCAGTTGATGCTTTAGCTAAAAAGGTTTGAAATGTAAGAAATCAGCAACACAAAAGAGTGTAAATTACAGCCTTTGGTTAACAGGGTCTTCTTATAAATTCACTAAATAAAGAATAGTTTCTTCTGACATTTATATGAGAAGTAAAATGCAGAACAGATAGCGGTTCTTTGTTTGAACAGAAAATTGTGTTCGTTTGCGAAATTCACAGATTCACTCCTTCCTTCCTTTTATAATGTAGATACTGACCACTATAAAAGACCTCATTTAGAGAAAGTTATTTTCTCATTTGCCATAAATCCAGAGTCTGATGTGAAATGAACCCAAAATGAACTCCTGATGCCAGAAATGACCAAACAACACTTGCCTGTTTTTTATGACCTAACGCCAGATATACTGGAGGCTGAATCTGCCGTTAGCTCTTATTATAATCGCCAGGAGACTCGAAACATACCAGCAGGCATCTCAGCCAGACGGCCAGAAATCTCCCTGAGAGCCTCGGCCCAACGGGAGGTAGAGTCGGCCATCATGCTCACATTGTATCCCATGTCTCTGAAGTACTCAGACAGCGTGATTCCTGCCAAAACAAATGCACCACTCATCAATCAGAGGAAGAGTGAGACTCTTTATTCTTAACATGTGTGAGTGATCAAAGAGGTGGTGCTGACAGATACCTGTGTAGATGGAGGCTTCTCTGGCAGCCACAGGCATGTTAGAGGTGTTGGCTACCAGAGCTGTTCTCTTCATGATGCTCTCTGTCTTTCCATCCACCTCCATGGTCAGCTGTTGATCAGACAACACTGTTAGGACACCAATCAAAGGTCACTCCGGTTGGGTTACAACGCCACCGCCATAGCTACCCACCTCGGGGAAGTCTCGCAGCACTTCTGACATCTCGTTACCGCGCTCCCCGCAGCCTACGTAGATGATGACGTCGCTGTTGGAGTACTTGGACAGGGACTGAGAGATGACGGTCTTTCCACAGCCAAAGGCTCCTGGGATGGCGGTGGTTCCTCCCTGCACACATCTTCACACAGAGAAAAGAGAAGAGTGTCAAGAAGAAACTCCAAAGTGCAGATGGTGGAAAAACACGGGGTTAAAACAAGCATGTGAGGCTCACGGAAAAAGGGCGTCCAGCACTCTCTGTCCGGTCAGCAGCGGGTGATTTGCGGGCATCTTCTCTGTGACGGGTCGCACTTGTCTGACGGGCCACACCTGCACCATAGTGAACTTCTCCTTCACCCCCTCAAACTCCAGCTCCATCACCACGTCCTGACACACATACACAAACACACATCAACACAAAGCAACACCTCACATCTATTTCACAGCCGCTAGCTGGAGGTATCGGCAGACTCACAGTGACGTCGTATTTTCCAGGCGGTGCCACGTACGTTACGGTGCCTCTGTTTTTGGGAGGCAGCATGATCTTGTGCCTGATGAGGGAGTTCTCGTGCACCATGCCATAGACGT